AGAATGGTAGCGACACCTCCAGCACCCGATCCCCCTTGATCGACTGCACAAAATGAGGCGTGGACTACAGCATGGGCATGTGCCTGGAGCACGAACTGCTCCAGTTGAACACGATCGGCATGAACTTCCTTCATTGCCAGCAACGTGGACTGCAAGTGGATCTGCTGTAAATATCGTAACTTGGGGATAGCCTTCGCTCCTTGGTGCTGCAGGAGCGCCCTCGCGTTCCAGGTAGCACGTCTCAGAGCGGAGCCTCCATCTCTGGCTTGAGGAAGGTTGAACATCTGCATCATCTCGTTAAAGGCACCACTGCGGCGGCGGCGGTGGTGCGATGGTGGACTGAACCAGCTCGCGGACCTCGTGCTTGGCGATGCCGACTTCATTGAGGCCCTCGTCGTTGTAGAAGATGTCGAAGGGCTGGTCGTCAGGCTGGGCGGAGAGCTTGAGGATGTGCGTCCACCCGCAGCGGAGGACACCACGCTCCCTGTCCACGACCCAGCGCCCGTCATATTTGCCAACCATGGCCGTGCGTAGCTTCCTGAGCGCCATTTCCGTTTTAATTTGTTTTGGATTTTTGTCTGGTCCGAGATGGAGACGAGCGGGAGTTGAGCCTGACACATCAGCCTCGAAGATACGCCATTCATCGTTCTGCCTGAGATTGGATAAGACTTTGTTGACATACTTGGACGCGAGCCCCACACTGCCGTTGAATGAGACGAGGTACCTTCTGCTTGGCATCGGACCGGTGGACTTGATAGAGTATGATGAAGCGTCCAAGCCCAACTCCGCCAAGAAGGGGGTAAGTGATGCACGCACAGAATCAATCCCAACCATCTTCGTGGCCATGGCGACGACAACCGAGGGGTCTTCCACGCGATCGAAGGAGGGCGGTGCCGTGGGAGCCTTCTCGGTGCGCTTGGCGACCATGAGCTCGCCGCGGAGCTCCTCCATCTGCTTACGTAGGTTGGCGATGTCTGCGGTGTGTTTCTCCACATCAATAGAGAGCGTGTTGACGTGGGAGCCGAGGGAGTCAATCTTGGACTGTAGGCCGCGGTGAATGGAATCGATGTGTGGGCGAACAGTGGCCATAATCTGCTGGTCAACTTCTTTCGGCTGGGCCGTGATCTGGACGCGCAGAGATTCCAGTGTGTCGAGAATAGATTTGTTTGACGATTGCACAGTTGCGCCGACGGTAGATCCAACCAGAGATTCCAGTTCGGATCGTAGTTCTCCAAACTGTTCAGCAACTGCGTTTGCTGCGACGTGCCTGATATAGTCATCATCATATTGAGGCTGCTGCAGTGGAGGCTGGGCAGGGTCACGATGGGCACCAGCAGGAGACGAGCCAGGAGTACACTGAGAATCGCCACGACCGCCGAAAAGAGCGGAGCCGACAGCCCCCGCCGCGCGGGCAGCCATGCCTGCGACTCCCTTGCCACTGGTGTTGCCGCCTTTGCCGTCCTCGGTGCGCGGGTACTTGTGCTCAGGCGAGCCCCGATCATGACGGTCATCAGCATGGTCATCTTCAGGAAAGGTGGGCATGTCATCGAGCTCCTGGGCAACCTTGGCGAGCGGAGCAGCATCGGGAAGCCCCATGGTGACAGCGGCGCTCGACAGCACAGGAACGGGAAACACCTCCGTTTACCCGTGGAGGCGAGCGACAGGATGAGGAAGAAACTCTGCCAGACCGCCAAGGGTCTTGCCAGCCGCGGACTAGCGGTATCCACTTGTTCCCCTGTGGAACCTGGCATCTTGAGCCAAAATGGCTACGGAAGGGGAGGAGGAGGAGGAGGAGGAGGAGGAGGAGGAGGAGGAGGAAGAGGAGGAGGAGGAGGACTAGTGTAAACCCAAGACTCATCAACGATGTTGGAACACATCCTCCCTCCAAGCTCCTTCTTCACAAGCCCCTACAAGGGTTCATTTCCACTGAGGGAAGCGCCCTGTTGGGGGACAACCGTGTGAAAATCCTGAAGCGCGCCGTAACACCATTCTCAGGACTTCAACGCCACGAATCAACCAAATTGTTGCGTGCGGACGACCCAAGAACGTGCCAGAAATTCAGCCCTGGAACTTCCACACCGTGAATCAAAATAACTGTTGCGCGCTGACAACCGTGAACCGATCCAAAACACCATGTCTGGTTCGATGGCAAAGAAAACGAGTGAAACTTTTGCAAATGTTTGAAACGTATGTGCGCGGCACTACGGCGAGAACCACCATTTGAAAAAGAACCGCCCTTTTTTCCGTGAACCTCTTGCATATTGAAAAACGAGTGTGCGCGGCGATACAGCGAGAACCACATTTTCAAAACGACCTGCCCTCCATCCATGAAGCTCTTGCTAATTTCTAATACGAATGTGCGCGGCGGAGGAGAAGGAGGAGGAGGAGGACCAGCGTAATTAAACCAAAGACGCACCAACGATGTTGCAGTTAATCCTCACTGCAATCTCCATTCTGATGTCCCCGCAAGAATTTATTTTCATTGCGGGAAGTGGCCAATTAGAGGACAACGCTCGATAATCTTCAATCCTGCCAAAACGCGGTTTCTGGGACTTGAACGTCGCGGATCAACGTCAGTGTTGAGTCCTGACGTTCCCAAATTTTGCCGGAGCACCAATCCAGGGACTTCAACACCGCGAATCAATGTGACTGTTGCGTCCTGATAATGCTAAACCGTGCCAGAGCGCCACTTATGGGACTTCAGCCATACGAAGCCTTGAAACAGCTGCAAGCTTTCATCACGAATGCGCGCGGCGCTACGGCACTAACCATATACAAAAAGCCGTCCTCCATCTTGGTGTTGTTGCACACTTTTGCAACGAATGTGCGCGACGCTGAAGCGAGAACCACACTTCGAACACCGATGGCCCTCCATCCTTGAAGTTGCTGCAGGCCTGTAAGACGAACGTGCGCGGCGAGAAGGCGAGAGCCATATTTTGAAAACGAGCCGCCTTCCGATCCGTCCAGTGGTGAAGCACTCTCAGGCGAAACGCCCAGCCCTCCCTACTTAGTGACAAGTCTGGGGGTGCGACAGGGAGGACTTGTTTATAAGGGAGAGGAGGCATGGAGAAGAAGGAGGAGGAGGAGCAGGAGGAGGGAGGAGGAATTGCGGCGCCCTGGCGTCAAGCCTGACTATGCCACTCATCCAAGTTGTATTTACTTACGCCGCCACTGTCCGGCGGATGCGTCGCGGCTGTTTGATCAATTGTCGCGCTGCGCTGGCTGAGGAGAGCGGCATGAAGAGGGGGAGGCACGGTGAGGCTATTGGATAAGGAACCCTTGGATAAAGATTCCAGGGTCTGACAGCCAGTGTTGGTCATGGGTATCACCGGCGCCCTCATCAGACGAGGATTACTGCAGGGTCTGAAGCCCCCCTGGGCACACTACTTAACGAACACGCGCACCGTATGGCGTGACAGTGGGCGATACCGTCGAGGGTGCAAACAACGCCCCACGAAGCCCGGGCCAGCTTCTGAGCCAGATCTCGAGCAGGCGCATGGTAGGACCCCCCTACAGGCAGCCTTATTCGCGGGCAGGGGGGGGCCCAGAAAGAGGGCCAGATTCTCGGAAAGCTGCTGGAGAAATGCCTGGACAGCCAAACGAAGGGGGCTTCTTCAGGATCGGTGCAGTTGTGTGTACGGAGGTGGATCGTTGCACTGGAGGGGGAACTGAGCCTCCAAGCTTCAGAACTTGGCTCTTGCTAGAGGGGCGCGAGCCCGGCAACCAAACCGAGACTGCCCCGACCGTTTCGGTGCAAGTGAGCGTTTTCTTATTCGGCGTTTCGACATTGGGCGGAAGGGGGGGGATCTGGCTCTGGACCTCTGCAATCTGCTTAACGCGACCGCTTGCAACAGTGCGTCCTATGGGGAGACTCCACCTGCTTGAAGCAGGCGCCACAAACAACCAAGATCTACTCCATGGTGGGGGAGGGGGGTGCGAGGGCCCGCGCCGATCGGCAAAACAATGAATAAGAAAACGGTAACTAAAGCCAAAGGCTGCTTGCATGGGCACGGGGCGGTGGATCCTCCCCGTTCAAGCAGCGCCAGGCTCGGTCCAGGCTTCAGTTTGTTATCGCATGTTCTCTTCTCCCCTCCCTGTAATATACAGAACAGCTGGCCACGACTGAGCGGAGTCATAGCTGACTCGCTCAACTGCTCACAAATCAACATGTCAGACGACGAACCTGATGAACGAACAGCACCCGCTAGCAGCGCTTGCACTAACAGAAGATATCGCACTTTGGCCTTCTTGCTTGGCTTGACACATAAGTTGGACGGGTCCGCCGAGGATTCTCTGTGCTCCCGCCCGTGGGCACTCGTGGCCACCCCGTGCCTTGGATGGGTCCGCCACGGTTCCGCCACGATGCTCCCGTGGGCGCCTCGTGGGCGCCTCGTGGGCGCCCCGCGCCCTGGGTGGGTCCGCCGAGGTTTCGCCTGGCGCACGCCCGTGGGCGCCCCCGTGCGGTGGGTCTGCCGACAGTTTGCCCTGTGCCCGCCCTTGGGCGTGGTGTGGGCGTCCCGTGCCATGGGTGGGCAACGTAGCGTACACAGCAGAACTCGCACCGCACGGCTTACGCAACTTAGCCAGTACCCCGTAGGTCGCACCGCGTAGCTTCCACAACGTAGCTCACAACACGTAGCTTACACAACATAGCTCACAGCACATAGCTTACATCATATAGCTTGCACCACATCGGTCACGCCGCATAGCTTACATACAATAGGTAACACCACACAGCTGACTGAGTATAGCTTACACAACAGAACTGACGCCACATGGCTTACTCCGCATATCTTTCACCTCCAAATTATCACACATTCCATCTTAGGGTCCGCGCTGGCAACCATTTGTCTGTTTTTTCCCTCACCGACCCCAGGCAGCGACACGGCACACGGCAACGTCCGATACTCCATGAGAGGTGCACGGCCGCCTGATCACAAATTGACGCCTTTCCTTGGAACTATCGCTACGGGCGACTTGCCGTGACGCAAGCTCTCCGCTCAGGGCATCGTGAGCCCACCGTCCACAGACAAGCACTGGCCTGTTACCGCGTTGGACGCGTCCGCGGCGAAGAAGACGCAAGCCTCTGCGAAGTCCTGGACGGTGGTGGTCTTGCGCAAAGGCGTGCCCGTTGCAACGAACTCAAACACCTCTCTGGTGGTCAAGGATGATGCATCAGTGGTCTCCAGCAAGCCGCCGGCCACCAAATTCACGCGCACGCCAAGCGGCCCTAACTCTGCGGCGAGGTTTCGCGTGAGGCCAACGAGAGCAGCCTTTGAAGCGGTGTAGTCGTAGTAGGTCACAACAGGATTGTACACAAGGTTGGTGCCAATGTTCACAACTTTGCCAAACTTCGCCGCCTCGAACGATGGCAGAGCAGCCTTCACAGTGTTTACAGAGCCCGCGAGAGCACCTTTCATCTGCTGATCAAAATCCTCCCAAGTTACCGTCTTGATGCTGGCCGATGTGCTGCCAGGGTCGAACTTGTAGCTGGCAAGTGCGTTGTTCACAACAACGCTCACGGGCTTCCCAAAGTGAGCCTCTGCCTGGGCAACGAGCTTTACCATGTCGTCCTTGACTGTCACGTCGCCGTAGGTCGCGAGTGCCGTCTGCGCGCCATACTTTGCATTGATCTCGTCGGCCACCTTGGCGGCCTTCTCTTTGCTTTGGAAGTAGTTGATAACGACGGAGGCGCCCTCGCGGGCGTAGATGCGCGCAAGCTCGGCGCCGACGCCACGCGAGGCACCAGTCACGATGGCCAAGTGCCCATCGAGTTGCCCGTTGACAGCGCAGCTCCGCGACGCGCCGCGGAGCTGCGTGGTCTGCAGGCGAGCAATGCCATGACGCGCTGAGGAGGTACGAGCCGCAACACCCAGAACGCGAGTGGACATCGTGGATGATGTGGGGTCGAGGGGTCAGAAGATTTTGGCCAGTTCCCTTCGCAGGCGTTACCCTGATCAGGTTCGAACGGTGTATTCTCAGCTCCACCTGTGGAGTGGGCACCCGTACCGCCAAAAGCTCTCGAGCCAAAATCTTACTGCAGACTCGAGCGCTACTAGACGCATGGGCAGCCGCACCACCAAGATCTTCTGGAGCCGGAAGGCTTGTAAGCCAAATGGGGGTCGGTCGTCGCTGGTCGCAAGACTGTTCCCGGTCGCCGTCGCAGGCCAGCCCCCGTCGCCGTCGTCTGCGCCGGGAGTTCGGCCGCTGCCATCGCAATCGCCAGCCAGCCCCGTCGCCGTCGCCGACCAACCACGTGCTCGCGTTTGTTTCTGCTTGCTTCAGCTTGCTCCCACCAACTTCAACTTGCTTTGATCTGCTTCGTCTTGCTTACTCTTGCTACCGCTCGCCTCCATGTGCTTCCAAATGCCCACAGACACACCGACAAACACGCACAAACAGACACACACAGACAGACAGACACACACAGACACACACACAGACACAGACACACACACAGACACACACTCACACACAGACACACTTACACACACGCACACTCTCGCACGCACACACACACTCGGACACACACACACACACACTCGGACACACACACACTCACACACACTCGCACAGAGACAGTCACACACACAAACATATATACACACAGGCACACACAGACACACACAGAGACACACAGAGAGACACACACACACTTAATCACTCACGCACACAGGCACACACACTCACACTCACTCACACACATACTCTCCCACACACACACTCACACACCCACACTCACACACAGACAGGCACACACAGGCACACACAGACGCACACACATACCATCAGACACACACGCACACGTACACACACGCCCACAGACACACACATACTCACACACAGACACACACACAGACAGACACACACACACAAACACACAGACACACAGACACACAGGCACACACACACACTGACACACACGTACACATTCACACACGCACACACAGACACACACACACACACACTCGCACACACTCACACACAGACACAGGCAGACACACACAGGTCCACACAGACACACACAGGCACACACAGACGCACACACACATTTGCACACACATACACACACGCACGCAAACATAGACAAACACGCACAAATAGACACACACTCACACACATACTCGCAGACAGACAGGCACACATACAAGCACACACAGACACACACACACACACGCAGACACACGCACACACGCACACACACTTGCACACAGACGCACACACAGACACACACACACACACTTGCAAACACACAGACACACATACACACACAGTCATACACACACAGACAGACACACACGCACACACACACACACACGCACACAGTCACACACACGCGCACACACACACACTCACACACACAAGCTCACACACAGACACACACCGACACACACAGACACGTAACAACTCTCAGACACAGACAGACAGACACACACACACAGGCACTCAGTCACGCACATACACACACGCACGCACAGACACACACTCACACACGCACGTACATGCACTCACACACAAACACGCGCACGCACGCACACAGGCACACACACACACACACACGCACACACACACACACACCACACGCAGACACACACACACACACCACGCACACAACACTTTCATCACAAAAAGAACGATTCCGTCCGTCCCCCCCCCCGTCCTGGAAACCCGGGGGTGGGTGGAAAAACTCCCCCCCACTTCTCGGAACCAGAAGGGGGGGGCGGTATGCCTCCCCCGTGTTCGATGCCCAGGGGGGGAGGGGGAAAGACGACGCCGACGACGACGACAGGACAGCGGCGCCGACAGCGTAGACAACAGCGATGACGGGGTCGCGCCGACGACGACGACGATGCCGACGCGCACACCGACGCCGACGCCACACCGACAACGACGACGACCCGGATGCTGACGAGGACGACGCCGACAACAACGCCGACGACGCCGACGCCGACGCCAACGACGACGACAACGCCGAGCACGATGCTGAGCACGACGCCGAGCACGCCGCCGACGGGGACGACGATGCTGGCGCCGGCGCCGACGCCGACGCTGATGCCGACGACGACAACGCCAACGCTGACGAACAGCACGACGCCGACAACAACGCCGGGCACGATGCCGACGCCGAGCACGACGCCGAGCACGACGGCGCCGACGACGACGACGCCGACGCCGACAACGACGCCGAGCACGACGCCGACGCCGACGCCGGCGACGACGACGCCGAGCAGCACGCCGAGCACGACGCCGAGAACGACGCCGAGCAGCACGCCGACGTCGACAACGACGACGACGCCGGCGCCAGCGCCGACGCCGACGACGAGCACGACGCCGAGCACGACGCCGAGCATGAGGCCGAAGCCGGCGACGACGACGACGCCGAGAACGACGCCGAGCACGTTGCCGAGCACGACGCCGATGACGCCGACAACGACGCCGACGCCGACGCCGGCGCCGAGCACGACGCCGACGACGACGCCGAAGATGACGACGACGCCGAGCACGACGCCGAGCACGACGCCGAGCACGAAGCCGAGCACGACGCCGACGACGCCGAGCACGACGCCGAACACGACGCCGAGCACGACGCCGAGCACGACGCCGAGCACGACGCCGAGCACGACGCCGACGCCGATGCCGACGACGCCGAGCACGACGCCGATGACGCCGACACCGACACCGACGCCGATGCCGACGCTGGCGGCGACGCCGACACCGACACCGACACCGACGTCGACAACGACGACGCCGACAACGACGCCGACGCCGACGACGACAAAGACGCTGAACACGACGCCGCGTGCGCCGACGCCAGCGTCGACGACGACAACGACGAAGACGACGACGCCGAGCACGACGCCGTCGTCGTCCGTCGCCTTCCCCCCCACCCCCCACGGGTTTGAACCTGGGGGGGGACATTTCCCCCCTCCACCTCCCCCCCCGGGTTCCGAACCCGGGAGGCACCCTACAAGCGACCACAGACAGCGTTCGTTCTCATCACCGAACTCACCCAAGCAAAACCGAAAGCTCGAGTCTCCCCGATCTACAAGGGGCGCTGCTCGCCGCACCGCCGCCGCTCCTGGGTCAGGATCGGCCTGCCTGCGTGCGAGTCCAGCCATGGCGACGGGGGGGTCCAGGGGGGCACCCAGATCACCATTCTCATCAGCATCAACATCAACATCAGCATCATCATCATCATCATCAGCATCATCATGAGCATCATCAGCATCATCATCATCAACATCATCACCATCATCATCCCCATCACCATCATCATCATCACCATCACCATCAGCATCATCCTCATCATCATCATCGTCGTCATCATCATCATCAACATCATCAACACCATCGTCACTATCACCATCACCATCATCATCATCACCATCATCAACATCACCATCACTATCACCATCATCATCCTCATCATCATCAGCATCAGCACCAGCATAATCAGCATCATCAACATCTACACCATCACATCAACATCAACATCATCACCATCATTATCATCATCAACAACATCATCATCATCATCATCATCATCATCATCATCATCATCATCACACTCCTCACCCAAGAGGTGCCACAGGCGCGGGGTCTACGTGGGCTTCGTGGGGCCACAACCCCAATTGTGCCACGCACGCCCGTCTGCGGCGCTTGGTAGGCGGGACGCGCCCACGTGTCGCCGCGGCGGCCCCAGCGACACGCTATGCCTTGCGAGCAGATGGCGTGTCCCTCCGCTCCGCAGGACGGGACGCTCGGAAGGGCTCGGGACGTGGACGCCTGGGGACCCGGACGCGGATTAGCGCGTCGAGCCGCAGCGTGGTGGGCCAGAGCCGGCGGAGCGGCGCGCCATCCCAAAGTTCCCGACCGTGCCCCCTCTCGCCCTCCTCTCGAGGGCGCCGAACTCCGCGCGGCGCGAGAGCGCGAATACCTTCGCGCTCTCGCGCCGCCCCCCAGGGGAGAAGCGGGGGATGAGGTGGAAGCGGAGCCGACGCGCGAAGCGCTCCGCGCCCTCGAGGGCGCCCCTGCATCTGCACGGCTTGACCAGGCGGCCTTGCGCAGAGCCGCCCCTCCCCTCCCCCTTCCGCGCCGCTGCACTCGCAGCTGTGCCGCCCCCTCCCAGGAGAGCCCAACATCGAACCGATAAATCGAACCGATGGTATGCCGCCAATGAGAAATCGGAATCCGAATCGGAATCCGAAGTCGAATCGAATTGGAGTCGGAAGCCATCGAAGTCGAATCGAGTCGGAGGAATCGAAACGAGCCCCTCCTCCCCTCCCGCCCTCGGCTGCACGCAAGAAGCGACCCTGGGCGAGAGTGACCTTTCTGTGCGCGGCTCCACCTGGGGGCGCGGGGTGGCCAAACCCCGGCGCGCCGGCCGCCGCTGCCGCTTCGCGTTCAGCGATGAGGGTACACTCCCTTTGCCCGCACCGAAGGTCACTCTCCCGCGCGCAAGGTCACCCTCACGTCCAATCGGCCCCCCCCCACTGCTCCTGGCCAGGCCCATCCTGGGCCCAGGAGCTGTGTATATGCCTCCCTGGCCAGGCCAGGAGGGCGTATACACCGCTCCTGGGCCCAGGATTGGCCTGGCCAGGAGCAGTGGATATGCATAGATCTCGTCGCCCTATCTCCCGCGCGCAAGGTCACCCTCACGTCCAATCGGCCCCCCCCCCCCCCTCGGGGACGCGGAGGGAGGCGCCTCCTCGGCGCCGCCCCCGAAGCTGGTCCAGGAGGACTGCAGCACCACCCGCGTCCCGGTCTCCCTCGCGGCCTCGGCGCGGCCTCCTCCCCGCCCACCACCCGGGGGCTCAGGGAGGGGAGGAGGGGCCCAGCACCCCCCGCGCGTCGCGACGAGAAGTCGCGACGGGAGCTCTCTTCTGCCACCTTCGGCCTCTGGGGGCCCTCGCCGGGCCTCAGGACAGTCAGACAACGACTCAGGATGAAAATTCGGTCCCGGGGACTGGGTCGAGACCTCCAGGGGTCGACGCTGCGAAAGCATCACGACATCGGGGGTCTGGGGACAAGGAATGAGGTGGAGGACGGAGGAGGCGCCTTCGCTTCGTCTTCTCCTCCTCCTCCTCCTCCTTCTCCTCCTCCTTCTCCTCCTCCTTCTCATCATTCTCCCGTTCTCTCCCTTTCCGGTTCCTGTTACCCACCCCCCTGCTCACTCCTCTTCCTGCTTCTCGTCCCCCCTCCTGTTTACTAGTGCGCGCCAGGCGAGCTGAATGTGATCTTTCTTTGGTCTCTGTACTGATCCACGATTACTGAGCGTTCGTACTCTTAACTCTCTCTCTCTCTCTCTCTTTCTGCCCTGACAGTGTTATAACAAGCTCTCACCTCTCTCTCTCTCTCTTTTATGCTGCTCCCTCCTAATTATCGGAGGTTGGGGGTGAAACCGCAGTGGAACGGAGACCCTCAACCGGGAAATAGCTTCGTTTCGTTCGTGTCGTGCGTGCGGGCGAGGCGAAGCTGCGTGAGCGCGCGGGAGGAATGAACCCGCCGCTGCTAGGGCGAAGTCAAGACACATGTTTCATCTCCGTGCGTCCGGCGGTGGCTTGAGCGATATCCCGCGGTGTCCCGTGGTGTTCCGTGGTGTCCGCCGTTGCTAGGGCGAAGTCAAGACAAATGTTTCTCCGTCCGTCCGGTAATGGCTTGAGCGGTGTCCCGCGGTGTCCCGTGGTATTCCGTGGTGCCCGTCTCTGCTAGGGCGAAGTCAAGACAAATGTTTCTCCTCCGTCCGTCCGGCGGTGGCTTGAGCAGTGACCCGCGGTGTCCCGCGATGTCACATGGTGTCCGCCGTTGCTAGGGCGAAGTCAAGACAAATGTTTCTCCTCCGTCCGTCCGGCGGTGGCTTGAACGGTGTCCCGCGGTGTCCCGTGGTGTCCCGTGGTGTCCGCCGTTGCTTGGGCGAAGTCAAGACAAATGTTTCTCCCCCGCCCGCCCGTCCGTCCGTCCGTTTGGCGGTGGCTCGCGGTGTCCCGCAGTGCCCCGTGGTGTCCCGTGGTGTCCCGTGGTGTCCCGTTGAGTGAGATCGATCGTGAGATCGATAGTGAGATCGATAGTGAGATCGATAGTGAGATCGATGTGGTGCCCCGAAGTGTCCCGTGGTGTCCCAAGAAGTGTGATTGATAGTGAGATCGGTAGTGAGATCGAGAAGTGCCCCGTGGTGTCCCGTTGAGTGAGATTGATAGGGAGATCGGGACTGAGATCGATGTGGTGCCCCGAAGTGTCCCGTGGTGTCCTATGGTGTCCCGTTGAGTGAGGCCGATAGTGAGATCGATCGTGAGACCGATACTGAGATCGAGAAGGAGGAGGCGGAGGCGGAGGCGGAGGCGGAGGAGCATGAGGAGGAGAAGCAAGAGGAGGAGGAGGAGGAGGAGGAGGAGGAGGAGGAGGAGGCGGAGGCGAAGGAGGAGGAGGAGGCGGAGGCGGAGGCGGAGGAGGAGGAGGAGGAGGAGGAGGAGGAGAAGCAGGAGGAGGAGGAGGAGGAGGAGGAGGAGGAGAAGGAGATGGAGGGCGTGTCCTTTCCAGTGCGGGGCCTCGCCGGAGTGGCAGACCCACCGGGCGCTCGTCGTTCCACTCGGGCGCGCCTCCAGCAGTGGCAAGGCACATGCTCGCAGGGGACCCCGAGGAGCCAACTCGGGGCTCCATGGTGTACTGCAGCGTCGTTGATGCTTCCTGGGTGTACTCTGGTCCTCCTCCTCCTCCTCCTCCTCCTCCTCGTCTTCCCTGACCCTCCTCGCCGTCGTCCTTCACCTCTGGCTCCTCCTCAGTACAAGAGACTCCCTGCCCGACGACGCAATACCTCGAGGGCCATATCCTGCAACTGCCATTCGGACATCGGTGCCTCCAGGACACACCGTTCTGCGGATGGAGAAGGATTCAGCATAGTGGGAAGATCTGGGTGGGATGGATCGTGTGCCAGATGCGGCGCGAGCGCGCCAGGCTTGCCCCGTCCTCTTTCTTCCCCCCCCCCCCCCTCCTCTCTTCCCCGATGCCAACCTGGAGCACCTGCCCGCGCGAGTGCGAAACTGGGGACCGACCGCTCTCGCCTCCCTCCCTCTCTCCCTTCCCCCCCCCCTCCGGGCCCCACTTGTCTCCCCCGTTCCCTGTCCCTCCCCCCCACTCCCCCTCATCCCCCATGCCCCCGCCAGCTCCCCTCGACTCTGTGACGTTGCGCGGACCTGGAGCACGGGCTTGCGGCCTTAATGCAAAAGACAAAACGATCACCGACTTAGGCGAAGAAGCAAGCAAGTGAGGCAGGTGGCCGGGCAATCACATCATTGCAGCTGAGAGAGGCCCAAAACGGCGCAGAGTAAGCGCCGGCCACCAGCACTGGGGGAGGTACCTGGGAAGTGAAAGTAATGACGATGACAAAGCTCCCCTCACCTTCCTCCTCGCCCGCATCCCCGGCCCTGTCCACTCAACTCCTCTCCCCCTCGACCTTTCCTGGCCCCCCCCCCCCTCTCACTTTCCCGTGCCTCCGGGAGCCTCCCAGGGCCTCCCGCAGAGGCAATTCGGAAATTCCCTGAGAGGCCCCTGGAGGCCTCCGGAAGCCGCCAGGAGCACCACAGAAAACCCGAACGCCCAAACACCACGACCATTCAGCCGAGGCCCTCCTCTTCCAAAAAACGATACAGTAGCATGAACATAAACTTGGGGAGCTCCGCGCGGATTTCTGGGGTTCCGCGCGGGGATCCCTGGAGCGCGCCAGGGGCGGTGCCGGAGGCGCCGCCAGGGGGGCCAATCGCCAATCTCAAGAAACCCGCGCGGAGCTCCGAAAGTTGATGTTTATGCATTTTTGTTCTGCTTCGGTCGTCCTCGTCCTCGTCTTCGTTCTCGTCCTCGTCCTTCTCCTCCCCTTCCTCCTCCTCCTCCTCCTCCTCCTCCTCCTCCTCCTCCTCCTCACTGCTTTCTCCTCCTCCTCCTCCTCGTCCTCGTCCTCGTCCTCCTCATCCTCCTCGCCATCCTCGTCCTCCTCCTCATCCTCCTTCTCACTGCTTCCTCCTCCTCCTCCTCCTCGCCACCTGCCTCTACAGGCAGCACCCCCTCGGCACCTCCTCGATGACGGCGGCCAGCTCGTCGGGGTGCTCCACCACCATGGACCCGAACCCGACGAAGATGGGTTTCTCGCCCTCCTCCAGGAGAAGAAAGGGCAACACGAGCGCAGACGTTTGGAGCTCTGGGCGGACTTCTTGGATCTGCGCTGCCCGCCCGCCCCCCCCCCCCCCTTCCCAGCGGCGGGCGGCGGCGCCGCCCCTGGCACGCTCCGCGCGCCAGGGAAGCAAGAAACCCGCGCGGACCGTCGAGAGTTTATGCTTACAGCCAACCCGTAGAATGAGGGACGCACGATCAGGAAGAAAGGGCCTCGGAAGGCCCCGTCGACAATTTGCGAGCGGGGCGCGGCCAGCGAAAGCGGCCAAGGACGAGCCAAAGGAGAGGGATGCAAGGGTAACCTTGGAAAGTCGCTTGTGCTTACTGTGCGGGTTGGCTGTATGTTTATGCTGCCTTGTCTTCCAGCCTGACACAGCCTCTTGGTGTCGCGGCCACTCGCGCAGCGGAGCCCCAACAGTCGGGCGAGAGGCAGCGCGCGAGCCGGGCCAGCTCACGCGGCGGGGAGATGTGCCGAGCCCGAATAGAAAAGCGCGTCCCACTGCTCGCAGAGCAACTGTTCGCAAGTGGCCTGGATCCGAAGAGTTGCAGAAAAACAAGTTTGAGAAACAAACGAACAAGTGTGATACAAAAACAAAGGTGATACAACATCAAGTGTGATGAACAACTCCGAACAAGTGTGTTAAAACAGCTCACGATGTATCACGATGCCGTGTGGGATTCACGATGCACCACGTCGAGGCGGACATCTGTTCGTCGGCGGCGAGGCATAGGCAGTCCGCTCCAGCGTGCGGCTAGTCGGGGCAACCGAAAGGCTAATTGGCCGGCGTGCAGGAAGGGGGGAAGAAGACGAGGGCGGCCGCGCGGGGGGGAAGGGGAAAGCGCTCAGACGTGGAAGAGTTCCACGTCGAGAAGGCCGGGCGGCCAAACGTCGAGGCGGACAAGTGGTTTTCGCACGTTTGCGAGCAGGAATTTGGCGAGAAGTGGAGCGCGGTCGGAGACATTAAAAGGACCGCGCAGCACCACTCGCGAGGGGGCACGAGGGGGGAGGGGCTGAGACGAAGCCAGGACGAGGATAACATCGGGTGAGGATAGATCGAAAATCTCTGAGATCCAGCGGCTCTGAAGGATGTCTCGGGCGCCGCCTGGGCGCGAAGTAACCAATGGGGGGCGATACATGGGGGGGAGAAGAGTGCCCTTTCCAGGCCCTCAAGGCCCCCTCTGGGCCTCCCTTTGTCGCCCCCCCCCCCATTACTTCGCGCCCGTGCTGCGGCCTTCTCGGAGCGTTCCGGAACGCTCTGGAACGGATCTGCATCCTCGTCCTGGCCGAGGGCGGCGGGAGACGACCCCGAGAGAGAGAGAGAGAGAGAAAGAGAGAGAGAGAGAGAGAGAGAGCCCAGGCGCGTCTTGGCCAGCAGCGATGGGCTCCGCCGCGCGCGGTCGGGCCAGGGCAAGGAGCTCCGTCGCTGACCCGTCGTTTCGATGCAGGGCTGGACCGGCCAGGCGCGGGCGAGGCGGCCCGCTTGCTGACCCCCCGAGCCGTGGGACCCCCCACCCGAGGAGGAGGAGGAGGAGGAGGAGGAGGAGGAGGAGGAGGAGGAGGAGGAGGAGGAGGAGGAGGAGGAGGAGGGGGGAGGAGGGGGAGGAGAAGGAGGAGGGGGAGGGGGAGGGGAGGAGGCGGAGGAGGAGGAGGAGGAGGCGGAGGAGGAGGAGGAGGAGGAGGAGGAGGAAGGAGGAGGGAGGAGGAGGAGGAGGAGGAGGGAGGAGGAGGAGCGTCGGCGGAGCGAGGGAAGGTCCGCAGAGCGGGCTGGGCACGAACTCGGAGAGCGCACAGAGGCATGCAGCTAGGGGCCGGGGCCTCGCTCCAAGAGGTGCGCCCTCCTGCCCGAGGAGGCTTGGCGGGCAAGCCTCGGGACCTGGGGACCGCAAGGGCACAACCCCCGGCACGAAGCCCATGGCTCCAGAAGCCTACGTGCTGGAGCGGTCAGGACGTGGGAGGCCCGGGCCCCGCCTTGCCCGTCGTGCCGCCCAGCGGCATGCCCCTCCCACACGCCACTCTCTCCTCAGCTCCTCAGCTTCCTCCCGTCCGTGCCTTCCTCTCCTCATCCCGCCCCTCTCTTCCTCCTCCCCTCCGCCCTCCTGTTTCACCGTCCTCCCGCCTCTCTTCCCCCTCCCATTCTCTCCAGTCCTCTCCTCTCCTCTCCTCTCCTCTCCTCTCCTCTCCCCTCCCCTCCCCTCCCCTCCCCTCCCCTCCCCTCCTCCTCCTCCTCCTCCTCCTCCTCCTCTTCGCCCTGTCTCCCCCTTCCCTTCTCCCGCAATTTGTGTCTGCGTCCCGTCGGCCCGCCCTCGCCACCCTCTGCCGATCCCACGGGCCCGCGCGGAACAAACTGATAGAGCAGACATCTCCTGCAACCACACTCGCAGATCCTCTGGAGGCTCGTAGTCGCTCACGGCGTCATTGAAGATCGTGCCTGTCACCTCCTTGGCACACCCATAGTCTTTGCCATCAATCCGCCTGAATTCTGCGTTTGGTTCGGAATCGCAGGGATCAAATGACCTCTTGCAACACTGCTGTTGCATTGCAATGCGAAGCTGGCAACATACTCCAGATTCGTATCGCCGAGGGCATGTTCGGAATCGGGCGCACGACTCGCGACAACAATCATGACTGCATAACTGGCGCTCTAAGGCCGCCGCCAGGTGCGGGCCGTAGTCTGGGGACGATGATTTGTATCAAGCTGCTGGAGGGCGTAAACAAACAACATGCGCTGCGTGAGCTCGGCCAAATTTGCAGCCCGACACCACATACATCGAAATCCCCCCTTCCATCCTCCTTCTCCTCCTTCTCCTCCTACTCCTATATTGCTTACCTCCTTCTCCTGCTCCTTCTCCTCCTCCTCCTTCTCCTCCTCCTCCTTCTCCTCCTCCTCCTCCACCATTGCTTACTTCCTCCCGCCATGACTCCCTCACGCCCTTCCTCCCCCAGAGGGGGGGGAAGGGAGGAGGACGGCGGGAGAACAGAGGAGGGAGGAAACGGGGCAGGGGGAAGGGGGGGAAGAGGGGTGGCCCTAAGCTCCCACGTCACGACAACAGTGCAGCATCGCAGAAAACACGACTGGAACCCTATACAGTAGGGGCCCGACCACAAGAAACCTTCCACAAGAAACCCAACCCTGAGACCCTGGGACTAGGACGTCCGTCGACTTTTGGCGTGGGAACGTCACACTCTCCATCGCAAAACCATCGAAGCCCAAGAAGCCCAGGGCACCTTGGAGGCAAGCAGGGTGTTGCTTGGCATGGGCCTCCACTGTGCACCATCTTGCTGCTGCATGCTTCGAGCAAGATATCGAACTGTGACGGGCCCAGGCCCCGAAACGGGGCGAAACGACGCCGGGCAGAAGGTGTTAACATCACTTGCAGCGCTCGGATCTCAGGGGGGACCGGGGTGGGGAGGGGGATGATGATGATGATGATAATGATGATGATGATGATGATGATGATGATGATGATGATGATGATGATGATGATGATGATGATGATGATGAGGATGATAATGATGATGATGATGATGATGATGATGATGATGATGTGATGCTGATGATGATGATGCTGATGATGATGATGATGATGATGATGATGATGATGATGATGATGATGGATGATGATGATGATGATGATGATGATGATGATGATGATGAGATAACGGTGGTGGTGGTGGGTGGTGGTGGTGGTGGTGATGATGATGATGATGAGGAGGAGGAGGAGGAGGAGGAGGAGGATCCGGAGGAGGAGGAGGAAGAGGAGGAGGAAGAGGAGGAGGAGGAGGAGGGGGAGGCGGTGAGAGGATCTGGAGGAAGAGGAGGAGGCGGAGGCGGAGGAGGCGGAGGAGGCGGAGGAGGCGGACGAGCAGGCGGAGGAGGAGGCGGGGGAGGCGGAGGAGGGGGGGGGGGAGGAGGAGTGCGACCGTGATGTGGACGGAGGCGGCGGGGCTGGCGGGGCCCGCCTGCGGGCCGCGGCAGCAAAGTTGGCGACCACTGGTAGGCGAAGGGGACCCTGCCGGCCGCTCTCTCGCCCCCGCCCCCCTCCCCCCTCTGCGGCCGTTTGGTGGATCCCCGTGTGGCCCAATGCGCCACCCGCCAGGCCCCCAGTCCCGATTCGCCTCATCGAGCACGCACCTTGCGAAGCCGCGCGTCGCATCATCACCGCGGCCGGGAAAGGGAGGGGAGGGAGTGTAGGAGAGGGGAGTGCACAATTTTGTTTGCGTGTCTGTTGTTTTTTGTTCTGCCTCTGTCCTTGCGCCCTGGCATCGCCCTCCTGCTTCGGCCTTCGATTATGGGCACCTCGGCCAGGACGGCCGCCCGTGGCCACCCCATACGGTGAGCCAAAGAAAAGCACGCGCCCAACCACGTACATGAATACGGCCCCCCAATCCGCGAGACTAGCCGCGCGATGCGAACGGTCAATGCGCACCTTCGAAACCAGCGTGGATTTATGCATGTGGACGTTGGAACCGCCACCCCACTTTGGCGCACCTCTCACAGTTTTCGTGGCCCCATGGGAAGCTCCGCCTCAGGCCCCACCGAAGACCCTAGTGGCTGGAACCGAATGCGTGGCCGCTCCCATGTCGACACACCCCTCACACGTGGCCCCATAGGGAGCTCCACCTAAGGCTCCAGTAGCTGGAATCGCATGCGTGACGGTGACCATTTCGGCAGCCCTCGCACGCTTCGTGGCCCCCTAGGCAGCTCCGCCGAAGGCCCCAGTGGCGGGAATCGCATGGGTGACAGCGCCTCTTTCGGCACACCCCTCGCACGTTTCGTGGCCCCCCAAGAAGCTCCACCGAGTGCTCCATCGGCAGGAATCGCATGCGTGAGCGCGCCCATTTTGGCTCAACCCTCGCACGTTTCGTGGCCCTATTGGAGCTCCACCAAAGGCGCCGCCTCCTGCTGCTCCTCCGTGCTGCCCCCCAAAGCTGAGCCGACAGATGCTCAGATCAGCTGTGACGGGTTACATCCAGATGTAACCCGTTGCGGCTGACCTCTGCGACCACATCAGCAACGTCGCTCCGTCTTCTCACGCACGCCTCAGTCCTTTTGCTAGCCCCCTCCCTTAGTTTCCACCTGTCTTGCGGTACTCGCAGCTGCAGGTGGTCGGGTCCTTCGCCAGGCTAATTTCCCCCCCCCCCCCCCCCCTATCCCACTCATGCGCTCAAGAGGCACGTGCCTGAAACATAATTCGCGCCGCGGAGGGAGGGACTCAGTCCCAATCTAAGCGGTCGCGACTTGCACCAGGCAGCGTGACCGAGACAGTGTCACCAAGGTGAGGGGACGAGGAGGGGCAAGGAGGAGGAGGAGGAGGAGGAGGAGGAGGAGGAGGAGGAGGAGGAGGGGGAGGAGCAGGAGGGGGAGGAGGAGGAGGAGGAGGAGGAGGAGGGAGGAGGAGGAGGAGGAGGAGGAGGAGGAGGAGGAGGAGGAGGAGGAGGAGGGGGAGGGGGAGGAGGAGGAGGATTGAAGACGAGCAGAGGGAACGACACACCACAAAGACTCGCGCGTGCGTGCACCTTCGGGCACCTCTGCTCCCCCTGCATCGAGGACCGCCCCCCGCTCGAGGCCCAGAGCGGCACGCACGGCCTCCTCAACGCATGCTGCGGCGCCCCAAAGCCAGGGGTGCGGCGAGCGGCTGAAGCAGCCGACGCCGGCAAGGCCCTACGCCCCGACGGCGCGCCCCGAGTGAGACCGATACAGTGTCACCAAGGCGAGGGGACGAGGAGGGGCAAGGGGAGGATAAGGAGGAGGAGGAGGAGGAGGAGGAGGAGGAGGAGGAGGGAGGAGGAGGAGGGGCAAGGGGGAGGAGGAGGAGGAGGCTGCCCATATTTTCCCGTATTCCCTGGGGATCGACGGTTAATTGTGCCTGTTTGTTTTTTCGCCTCCTGACTGGTACACTGGGAGGGGTCGCCGAGAGAGATGTCGTCGCCTTCCTCGTCCTCGTCGCTCGCGTTCTCGATGTCTGCCTTGAAGGGCGATGCGCACAGCGGGCAGGAGCGTCCACGAAGCGCTCGGGGCGGCGGCGGCCACGCGCACGAGGAAGAAGGGCACGAGGGCGATCGAGAAACGATCGCGCTGCCGAGGCAGTGCGCGAGCGCGAGGTGCGTGCGGGACAGCGGCGTCGGGCCACTCGCTGGTTGTCGGACGGGCGCGCTTCCTCCACTTTCCCTGCTTGCCGGGGGGGGGCTCGAGAGAAATACCAGCGCAGGAGGTCCTCTGGCCCCCCGCCGACTTGATGCCTCCGTGTAGGCCGAGGAGCCATCCCCGGCGCGCGCGCTCGGGCAGCCGTCCTCGAAGATGGAGGAGGCTCGGTCGGTCGGTCGGTCGGTCGGACGGTCGGACGGTGTCGGGCTCGACACTGCAGCAGGTCTGCGCGCCGCTCTCCCAGAAGCTCTCGCCTGGAGAGCCCAGGAGCATCACGGGGCGACGGCATCTAGGCATGCCCGCTGCCCCAGTGTGTGTGTGTGTGTGTGTTTGGTTGTGTGCGCCCGCCCGGCCTGGCCAAGGAGGCCTTGACACCGCTCCTCGGCCCAAGATGCAGTCGGACCCACGCAGGCCAGAAGAACATCCCTCAAGGACACGAGACCCTCCGTCGGCCAAAACAGACAGAACATCCAAGGGTACTCCTCCACAGGATGCACAAGAAAATCCAGCAAACACAAAAAGCACGAAAGTACACTCCCCGAATCGACCTGGATCTTACACCTCGGTCCGACTGTATGCATCCACGGGGGGATCGAATGCCCCCAAGAAGGCTCACCATCCCCTCCTGCTTTCTGCTGTGGCTGCTCGCTTGGATGTGCTGCTTCCGCTGCCGCTGCCGCCGCCCCCCCTCCTCCTCCTCCACCTCCTCCTCCATTCCTTCTCCTCCTCCATTCCTTCTCCTTATATTGAAGGATAAAAAAAACGACCCTGCCCTGGGTTACAAGTGCGTGGTCCGTAAACCTCCTGGAAAACCCCGAAGCCTAGAGAGCCGCCAGGACGCCGCACATCACACAGGGTTTACCCTGTCAGCCCACAGGAGTTTCAGCACACAGCGCCTCGTAAACCAGGGTAGGGGCGTTTCTTACGCCCTTGATTATGAATAACTCCTCCCTGTCGCACCCCGAGGCCAGTTTTTAGGGCGGGCCGGGCGTTTCGCCTGAGACGTCCTCACCACTTATGGCTCTGAAGCTTCAAAACGGACAACAGCTTCACAGATGGAGGGCGGGTGGTTTTCAAAATGTAGCTAGCGCCGCGCACATTCGTTTTCAAACTTTGCAAACGTTTCACGGATTGAGGGCGGGTGGTTTTCAACATGTGGCTCTCGCCTTGGCGCACATTCTTTGCAAACGTGCGCAAGAGTTTCACGGATTGAGGGCGGGTGGTTTTCAAAATGTGGTTCTGTCCTTAGCGCCGCGTACACTCGTTGTCAAAACTTCAAAAAGTTTCACGGATTGAGGGTGGGCGGTTTTCAACATGTGGCTCTCGCCTTCGCGCCGCGCATATTTTTTTGTAAACGTGCGCACGAGCTTCACGGATTGAGGGCGGGTGGTTTTCAAAATGTGGTTCTGTCCTTAGCGCCGCGTACATTCGTACTCGAAACTTGAAAAAGTTGCACGGGTTGAGGGCGGGTGGTTTTTAACATGTGGCTCTCGCCTTCGCGCCACGCATATGTGTTGTAAACATGTGCAAGAGTTTCACGGATTGAGGGCAGGTGGTTTTCAACATAAGGTTCTGTCCTTAACGCCGCGTGCATTCGGTTTCAAAATGTACACAAGTTTCACGGATCGATGGCGGGCGGTTTTCAAAATTTGGTTCTCGCCGTAGCGCCGCGCACATTGTTTGTAAACATTTGCACGAGTTTCAAGGATTGAGGGCGGTTCCTTTTCACCATGTGGCTCTCGCCTTAGCGCCGACCACATGCGTAACACATTGCAAGAGTTTCACGGGTTCCCATGATCAACGTACCACAACTTGTGGTTTGGAAAGATTCGAAACTATGCGGGTGCAACAATTATGTTGGGTCGCGGTGTTGACATCAACAAATGGCGTTATGGCACGATTCCGGATCGCCAAAACGCAGCAGTCAGGTTGATACGTGGCGTTGAAATCCCGAGAACAATGTTCTGGCATGCTTCAGGATCTCCGAGCGGTTCCCTCAATGGAAATGAACCGTTGTAGGGGCCTATGAAGAGGGAGCTTGGAGGGAGGGTTAATTCCAACATCGTTGCTGACTCTTGGGTTTACACTGATCCTCCTCCTCCTCCTCCTTCCCCGTTGTCCTCTCCTTCTTCTCCCTGCCCTTCTCCTCCCCTTCTCCTCCTCCTCCTCCTCCTGCCCCCCTCCTCCTTCTCTGCCGATTTATCCTCATCCTCCTCCTCCCATCCCCTTCTTCTTCTTCTTCCTCTTCCTCCTCCTCCTCCTCCTCCTCCTCCTCTTCCGCCCTGCTGCTGTTCCTCGTGCCCAGGAAGAGAATGCAGGCGCCCGCCGGTGGCTGGTCACGATGTGCGCCCCGTTCTCCCCGGCCCGGATGGGCTGCAGCTCCATGCTCCTGCAGGCAGGAGGGTGGAATGGAGAGGGGCAGCAGGCGCAGAGGAAGAGGAGGAGGAGGAAGAGGAGGATGAGGAGGAGATGGAGGATGATGATGATCAGGAGGAGGAGGAAGAGGAGGAGGAGGAGGAGGAGGAGAAGGATGATGATCAGGAGGAAGAGGGGGAGGAGGAGGAGGAGAAGGAAGAAGAAGGAGGAGGAAAAGGGGACGGGATGAGGATGCGGATGCGGATGCGGATGCGGATGAGGAGGAGGACGAGGAGGAGGAGGAGGGGGAACGAGGGGACCAACATAGGCGCCAGCTGCCGTGGCCACAGGCGCGCCAGCCAAGATCGTGATGCATGCGGCACATACAGCGGCCTCGCTATTCCCATCTGGCAGCAGCAGTTGAAGCCAGGAGGGGGAATGAAAGGACGAAGTGGATGACGATGATGATGCTGCCGATGATGATGATGCTGCTGCTGATGATAATGATGATGATGATGAGGATGATGATGATGTCGATGACGATGACGATTATGATGACGATGACGACGGTGGCTGTGGTGGCGGTGGTGGTGGTGATGTTGATGCTGGTGAATAGTTCAGATGATGGTGATGCTGATGATGGTAATGATGCTGGTGATGATGGTGATGGCGATGCGATGTGATGACGATGATGACTGTACTCGCTCTGCGGGGTGGCTCTCCGCGCTCGGTCGGCACTGCCCCACGACGCACGGGCTCCTGGGGCCTCGCGGGGCCGCAGGACCCTGCCCCCCGCCGCTACCAGCGCCGCCTGGCGCCAGCACTCCTGCTCGAGGCGACCGAGCAGAAGAGCGCGGCGGAGGCCAATGAGATGGACCGCGGGGGGCTCTCGTCTGGACAGCCAAGCTGGACTGGCGGCGCTCCTAATCCTGCCCGCCACGCGTTGTGGGGCACCGTGTGGCCATGCCTGGTCGCCGTGTCCGCCTACGTCTGCCTGCGGAGATTTGCTCGTTGTCGTTTGGGAACAACCTGCGTTAAAACGTGCACTGTTGAGGCTGCCAACCGTGTCAGCAACATGTCCTGTGAGACTGGTCGTTGGCCCGCCTTGGTTGTGACGCACCCACCTCGAGCGCAACAAACGATCCTTCTTCCGCTTGTCCAGCGGCTCTTTCTTGAACGCCCGAAACGGGTACGGAAAATGGGTGCGATGCCCAACAACAAATGCTGTCCAGCACCCGCAACTGCAGCTGTTGGACAACCGGCATTCTGTCTCAAATAGATAAGGCCCGCGGCGGCACCGACAACACCTCTGGTTCAAACCAACAAAAAAACGGTCGGTCTTCGTACCCTCTATTTCCGTTACCATTTCGCCCGTGTCGACCTCTGCAGGGCCAGCATCCTCGCTCGCCCTGTAGGCCCTCGCGCCTGTCGCAGCACTGGTTGGACCCCGCGTCCGTGACGCGCAGATGAGGATGATGATGATGATGAGGAGGAGGAGGAGGAGGAGGAGGAGGAGGATGGGGGAGGAGGAGAAGGAGGGGGGGAGGAGAAGGAAGAGGAGGAGGAGGAGGAGGAAGGAACAGGATGAGGAAAGGAGGACGGGAGGAGGAGGAGGAGGGACGAGGAGGAGGAAGATGAGGAGGGAGAGAGGAGGAGTAGGAGGGAGGAGGAGGGGGAGGAGGGGGAGGAGGAGGAGTGGGAGGGACAAAATGGAGGAGCACGGAGGAGAAAAGGAGGGGATGGGGAAGGGGGCGGGGGATGGGGAGGGGGAGGAGAGGAGGGGGAGAAGGAGGAGGAGGAAGATGAGGATGATGATGATGATGATGATAAGGAGGAGGAGGAGGCGGAGGAGGAAGATGAGGAGGATGAGAGGAGGAGGAGGAGGAGGAGGAGGAGGAGGAGGAGGAGATGGAGGCACCAGGAGGAAAAAGGAGGGGATGGGGGAAGGGGGCGGGGGTGGGGAGGGGGGGGAGAAGGAGGTGGAGGAGGAGGACGATGAGGAGGAGGAGGAGGAGGAGGAGGAGGGGGAGGAGGAGGAGGAGCGCAGCGTAGAGGAGAGGTCCATCCGACCGACCACTGCGCTCAGCTCAACAGCTGAGCACACCTCTCCACACTCGAGCGACTGGCTTCGCCAGCGACCAGAGCGGAGGAAAGAGAAGCAGGGGCAGCGGCCGCAGGAGGCGGGGCGGGCGGCGGGCGCCCACCTATGTCGAACTTCACGTGCATGTGAACGGAGAGCGGCGTTTCAATCAGGGCCGCGGGGGGCGGCGCGGGAGAGCGAGGGTGAGCGGCAGCAGCAGGAGGGACATCAGCAGGAGCAAGAGGGCGGGTCGAGAGGACAACCAGGGAGCCACGCGCGCGGCGGACGGCCACGCATCGGATGTGGGGACCGAACGAGCAGGCGAGCGGCAGATTATTTTCGACGCCACGCTCACAATTCACTCTTGATGCGCAAAGGCCAGAATTTCCACCAACATCCAGCAACATTGGCGACGACTGAGCCTGCAGCAACGGGCTCGAGGAGCACCCGTGCACAGGACTTTGCGTTCTGCCAGTAACATCCAGCGACATTGGCGACGACTGAGCCTGCAGCAACGTGCTCAAGGAGCACCCGTGCACAGGACTTTGCGTTCTGCCAGTTACATACAGCGACATTGGCGACGACTGAGCCTGCAGCAACGGGCTCGAGGAGCACCCGTGCACAGGACTTTGCGTTCTGCCAGTTACATCCAGCGACATTGGCGACGACTGAGCCTGCAGCAACGGGCTCGAGGAGCACCCGTGCACAGGACTTTGCGTTCTGCCAGTTACATTGTCGTCGCAATCGTCGCTATGTCCAACACGTTCGGGCGCGGCGATAAGCGTCGACGGAGTGCCAGGGCTTGGCATCGTAGGAACAAGCCGTGGTGTCAAGCATGGTGACCGCCCTGGGGCCAAGCCTGCGACAGCGTCGGCGTCGTCCTCACCATCACCAGCAGCCAGGACGGCAGGGACGACGGCGGGGTCGTCTGCCGAGGAGGTGGAAAGATCGTCGGTGACCGTGCGCGGTGTCGGTATGAAGGACGGCGGCGGCTGCCATTTCTTTTCTAGCTGGTCTGTTGGCGAAGCCATTCGAAGAGTTCTGACAGCAGCCCGAGTCGCAGAGTTCAGAACAGTAGGGGTAACCCACTTGCGATAACGAACAGTGTGATGCGTGGTGTACATCGCCACCAGCTCCTCCACCCGTTCCACACACGGCGCCGTCAGGCACAGACGCTCATTAAGAAAGGCAGGAAGTGAGCGACCCCAGTGCGCGACCGACAGCACGAACCAGACGGTGGCATCGCATGTAGTGGCACTGCCTGTCTGCACAAGTGTTACACCCAAAGATACAGCGCCGTTTCCCCGAAGGGTAACTTATTCGATAACTTGTGAGCCAAGCGGGGGCCCACGTCTTGATAACAGGGAAGATCCAGCTCGTGGGCAGCAGCTGCAGCAGCATCTGAATCGCCTCCCACGGCACCCGATGTAAAAAGGGTTCATACATGGTAAAGTAGCGTGCCAGCCTGGTCTCGAAAGTCGCGCTCAACGGGAACGGTGTGACGAACTGCTCGTATAGTGCTGTGGTGGCTGCTCTCTGAAATTGAAGCTTACGTCCCGTGACCAAGAGTTCCGAAGCAATCGCAGACGTACAACAGCGTAGGATGTCTGAGGGGTAGCCAGCACACGCAGAGCCCTGACGCAGCCATGAATAGGTCTGCAGGATGGGCGGCAGCCGCCAGTGCCGTCCAGCGTCACACATCCAATCCACCCGAGTGCGACTGGTCGCGAGGGAAGCATCATCAAACCGTCCCTGCAGTAGATCATCATTCCATGAAAGAGTAGTGTTAGTAATGTTAGAGCGTATGTGGGTATGCTCGCTGAACGTAATGGTGGCAGCTCGGGACAGCGCAGCAGCACACGTATGCCGCACAAGCGGGATCTTGGGGCCACCCCACGCAGAGAGCTGGGCCCAGCCAGAGGCAGGCAGAGTACCCATAGGAGCACGGAATACCTGGGTAAGCACAGAGAGCTCGAAAGCGACCATCCTGGGAGGCAGAGGGAAGAACTGGGCCAGGTAGGACAAGACAGGGAGGGCTCTCGATCGGTAGAGCGCGCCGTTGATCCCCAAGGGAGCGGAGCCGGAACCAAGGAGCCTAGCACGCAACTTTAGTTTCATCCGAGCAGCGTCCCACTGCATCTGGATCGTGACGTCGGGCCCCAAGAGAACGCCAAGGTACATCAGGTGGGCCACGACCTCGAAAGCTTGCCATTCGGGAACCAGCCGACCGAGGAGAGCACGTGTCCTTTCCAGAAGGTCAGGGCTGAACGTCGCGTGCAGCGGGGTGACCTTGCATTTACTGAGCTTGAGGCAAAGCCCAGTTAAGAGCCTTGTAGTAGTCATCGCACGGTAGAGCACCTGGAGCCCGCGAGCCTCGAACAAGACAGCCCCAATATCGTCCGCGCAGGCCCTCGCTAGGCCAAGTCCAGAATCCTCAAGGGAACATTCCAAGTCAGTCAGGAACGGGGCCGCGCTCAATGCGCACAGGGTCCCAGACAGGCCGCCGCCCTGTATGATCCCCGACCTCAGCCAATACACCGAGTGGAGCAGGCCACCGTGGGCCGCGACCCCTTCAATCGCAGAGTACAACCAGGCCAGGAAGTGCATCACTGGGGATGGCAGGCGAAGGTGAGCGAGGAAAAGCATCATGAACTCCTGGGAGAGGCTCGGGAAGGCCTGGCCGAAATCGAACGAGACCAGCAGCGGCATCTTAGACGGGGCCAGCGGGTGGGCCCCAGCGACACGACTGAAGCCGTCTAGCTCTAAGATGTTGTACCCGAAGTTTCGGCCCTGAACGAAGCCGCGCTGCGACTGAGGGACGAGGGAGTCGACGACACCTTTAAGTGATCGGTTCACGGCAGACGTCAGTATTTTCAGGTCGGTGTTGCGGAGCCCGAGGACCCTGATCTTATCGGCAGTGCGGATGCAGCCTCCAGGGGCCAGGTCTTCGTGTT